GATGCATGACGAATAGATCCAAGGAGGTGATACTTCCCCTCTATCAGGCACCGGTTAGACCGCAGTCGGAGTACTGCGTGCAATTCTGGGCGCCACACTTCAAGAGGGATGTGGATAACCTGGAGAGAGTCCAGAGAAGGGCCACTCATATGGTTAAGGGCTTGCAGACCAAGCCCTACGAGGAGAGACTAGAGAACCTGGACCTTTTTCAGCCTCCACAAGAGAAAGTTGAGAGGCGACCTTGTGGCTGCCTATAAGTTCATCGTGGGGGCACAGAAGGGAATTGGTGAGGATTTATTCACCAAGGCGCCTCCAGGGGTTACAAGAAATAATGACCACAAGCTAGCAGAGAGCAGATTTAGATTGGACATTAGGAAGAACTTCTTCACGGTTAGAGTGGCCAAGGTCTGGAATGGGTTCCCAAGGGAGGTGGTGCTCTCCCCTAACCTGGGGGTCTTCAAGAAGAGGTTAGATAGGCATCTAGCTGGGATCATCTAGACCCAGCGCTCTTTCCTGCCTATGCAGGGGGTCGGACTCGATGATCTATTCAGGTCCCTTCCGACCCTAACGTCTATGAATCTATGAGGATCTATAGATTCTGATGGATTTTATTGTGACGGACATTTACTGTTGTAGTGGTAGAGATGTGTTGACAGGTTGTATATTTCATTGTTGAGTCAGGGTTGTGTCCGATTTGGAGTCTGATCAAGTAGGAGCTTACTTCCAATGATGAGTTGAGCAATGCCTGGAGGTTGCTTGAAGGAACTAGAATGGGGAACTTGGGAATACTTCCCTCAAGGACTGATCCATTTCTATTATAGGCTGTGATTGAGGTTCCATTTTGGGATGGAATGTGATTTTTATTGAAGTATACCCAGTTTAGGAGACTATTAACAAATATCGCCTTTTGAGTCTCTCGTGTTAATATTATCTCCATGAGACCACTGGGGCAAGGGTATTGAGACTGTTGAGGAAGTTATTAAAGATGTTGTCTTTTGAAAAGCCACATTCTTATTCCTCAGTAACAATTTAGAATGAAGAACATTGAAAAGATTCATTTTTAATCTATCATTAGATAGAAAATCTTCACTCTTTCTAATCACTGCTCTAAATATTGAAAGTTAAATTCATGCAACTCTGGACAACTTATTTAGTGTGGGGAGGGCATTCAATTTTTATGTGACGATGGTTTATCCCTTAAATGGTTGTTTTCTTTTGAAATTTCAACTTCTATACTTTGAAATGTAGTACAATAAACATGTCACAATTCAAGTTTTTTAAGTTTGTAACCATTAAAGACCTGCAGTAATATTACATTTTTGTAATACACTGCTGTTGTACATTTTAAGGTTTCATAGCTAATGGAGAAATTCTGCTAGAATGTT